GTCATTTAAGGAAAATTAAGTGAAGTTGATTTCAAATATATGGAAAATTCTTATTTGATGAAAATCAATTAATAAAATACAAGTAACCTTTAAGGAGAATGGCAAGAAAATCCTAATTAAACTGTTTAATATAAAGAATTAATGCTTCCTCCATCATCAGAATATAGATTAATAAAATTTTCTGAAGATTTTATAGATTTTGGTTATGTAGAATGTTATTCATAAAGTGGAGCAAGGGAGTTAGAATTACATAATAGACTTAATTGTAAATTGACTATATTTTGGACAATCTAAACTCATCCTACTGTTAATGGAGAAAAAGTACCAGTTTTTACAGTTTCTCCAGAAACATAATCAGCTAATGCAAATTCTAAATGCAAATTTTCAATTAGTTTTAGACCAACAAAATCATCTTACTACTATTTTTAATATATTTAATTCTTTGCAATTAAATATAATCCAAAATTAACAAAAAAAATATTAGATACAGTTAAAAATAACAAAGGATCTATTTTGAATGAATCATTTGGAAATAATGCAAATCTAAAATTATCTTAAACTGGAATTACTAATCAAAAAAATAATATAGATTTTACATCTAAAGAAATGATTCCTACTTTTAGTGGATAAATTGGATGTGTTGGACATTCTTTTGGAATTAATTCTTAACCATATATTCCTATAATAGAACTTAGACCATCTAACAAATTATATTTTCCTCCTTGTACAATTGAAGAATCTGTCTATTAAACAGTAGAATTTGTTAATAAATCAGATACTCCAATCTATTTTAATTTTAGTCCAGATCCAACAAGAACTTTTAGAGTATTTCCAAATTAAGGTTTAATTTTTGGTAAATCATCATAAATGATTATTGTTGAATTTGTGCCAGTTGAAAATAAGGCATACAATTAAACTCTAGTTTGTCATATGAATCATTAATCTTCTAATTAAATAACTCTTTAAGCTATAGGATATTGTTCTACTCCTTCACTTAAATTGTAGAATGATGGTAAAGTGTTTTTCCCTCCCTCATTTGTTGGAGTTTACTCAAGATAAAAATTAACAGTACATAATGAATCAAGAGTACCAATGAGTTATTCAATAGATGTTCCAGAGAAATACTAAACTGAACTATATATTGAACCTTCATCTGGATAAATAAAACCTAATGAAGTAATTCATTTAGATTGTCAATTTATTCCTTATAAAAAGAATAAAGAATATAGAATTAAAGTACCTATGACTGCTACAGAAATTCTTGCAGACAACTAAAATCTTATTGGGTATCATATTCCAGGATCAGGAAATTCAGACTTTCCTCTTGAACAAAGAAAACCTATTGAATTATCATATCAATTTGAAATATTTGGAAAAGGTACAGATGGTGAACTAGAACTTAATGTTAAATAAATCGATTTCAATATTATAAAAGTTAATTTCAATACAAAAAAATATGCTACCTTAATTAATAATTCAGATTGCACATTTTATATTGAATTAGTTCTTAGACCAAAAAATAAGGATAAAGATAAAATTGATCATTAAATAATTAGTCTTATTAATAGATCTTTTACTTTAGATTTATAAAATGGGATTATTGCTGCCAATTCAAAATTAGATATTGGAATTATGTTTAATCCAATTGAAGTCTGTGAATTTGATTTAGTTTTAGATGTTATTGCTACTGAAAAGAATCCAAAAGCACCTAAAGGTCCTAATTATTAAAATAGAAAAATAGTATCTTAGAAATGCAAATTAGAAATTAAGGCTAAAGGAAATTATCCTTTATTGAAAATTGCTGATGTAAGAAATGATTCTATAAGTGTTGCCACTTTATGGGAAAATTTCTAAATTAATCAAATTAATACAGAATTAGCCAAAGATTTAAATGAAGATGAATAGAAATTTTTGAAAATCGAATAATTGACATTTGATCAAGCTTAATAATTACAAAAGAGATTAAGAAGTTATGACTGGAATTTTGGATATTTACCATCTAAACCATAAGTAAAATCTAGAAAAATTGTTATAACAATTTAAAATATTGGAGGTACTGATTTAGAGTGGCAATTTAAATTACCATCTGATCATTAAATAGAATTAGAACCTTGGGCTGATCCAGGAGAACCTACTGAAGAAGATACATTTGAAAAAGCCATTTTAGAAAAGAACATATTTTAAATTAGACCTAAAGGTGGTGTAATAGCTCCAAAATGTTTTAAAGATATAGAACTAATCTATACTCCTTGTAATTTAGATGAAGAACTCAAAACTAAGGGAATTTCAAATGAAAGTCATTTTCTTAGAGTTGTATTATAGATTTTGAATGGAAAACCATTAGTTTTAAATTTAAAAGGAACAACACTAGCTCCATTAGAAGGAAGATTAGCAGTAAAGAAAAATTCATTTGAATTACCAGAAACTCCAGTTGGATTATTGTAACCTGTTAAATATCCAATAGAAATTTAAAATGTAGGAAGTTCAAAAGTTTCCTATAAAACACTTATATAAGAAATGGATATTGATGGATAGATCATTGATTCTTAATTTAATGTATTTGATATTCAGAATCCTTAAGGATCACTCTTACCAAATGAGAAATAATATTTATATTGCCTTTTTAAACCACTAGAATAGAAAATATACTATTTTGAATTATTGGTTGAGGTTTCTGATATGGTCAAAGTAATTCAACCAGTTAAGTTAGCTATCCAAGGAAGAGGATATGCTAATAAACCTAAAAATTAGATTTAAAAATAAACAATAGAAATTCCAAGATAAAGATCACATCAATCTCCTATAGGTTCAAAAGTATTCTTTTCTTTGGAAGAAATAGATTTTGGAGAATTATTACCATTAAAATCTGCACATAGAATGATCATTCTATACAATTAATCTACAGATCGTAAATTTACATTTGATTTTGGTATTTCATAATTCACACTTTCAAATAATAGACCAGGACTATGTTGTGGGGATGAATTTTTGATAGAACCTATATAGGGAGAACTCGAAGCTTAGGCATTTATAGAATTGAAATTAACATTAACTGCAGCTTCTACTCCTTCAGTTTATGAAGGTGAATGTGAATGCACAATAAGTTGGGAAAATAAAAATTAATAAGTGAATACTTCTTAGATAAGTTAAAATTCTCAAGCAATAACAGTAGATAAAGAAACTTTGTTTTTAAGAATAAAGAAGAAATCAAGTTTGAATGTAGAATTAGTGAATTCATTTAAATAACCTCCTCCTCCTATTCATAATGCAATGGCCCATCCTTTTTAATAATTACTAGGTTAGATTATTACAGAGGTTTTGACTGACTCTCATACTGACTAAATTCTTAGAGCATTAGATTAATAACCTATAACACTTTATTAACCTGAATAACAACCAAAAGAAGGAGAAGATATATAAGTGGAGGATTTGTAAATATAAATATATATATACAATATAGGACAATCCCAAGAGACTATAAAGATTATAAGACTATGTTTTTAGAGGAAGAATTCATCGAATTAACTGATTTAATAATGGAAAATACATTCTTTAATATCATATAAGAAACCACAAGAAAAGAGTGTGATTTATTACGTATTTCAAAGACTTTTGTCACACCAGCAAACAAATGATTATTATATAATAAAATATTTTGAAATTTATGTGATAGCAAACAACTTTGAGATTAATTTATAGAAAGATAATAAGTACTTCAATTTTGAGTAGTTTCTTATTCTTATTAGGTTTATAACTTATCATTCCACCTTACTCTAATTCCATATTGCCAGATTCCTTCTCTTTGTTATCCATCTTCTCTAATATATACACCTTTTCCATGCTATTATCCATTTAACCATTCTCCCATATATTTTCTTCCATTCCACTTATAGGTTCCAAACCCATGTCTTTTATCCTCTTTAAACTCTCCTATATATTCTCGATCATCCTCCCATCTCATAACTCCTTTACCCCACAATTGTCCATGTTTGAAATCTCCTTCATAGGTTTTCCCATCTGCCCATTTATATGTACCTTATCTCAGTTGGATATACATATATACCTTTTCCACTGATTACTCCATTTTCAAAAGTTCCAACATACTGACATCCATCTTTAGTAACTAGTTTTCCCTTGCCATGTCTAGCCCCCTTATAAAATTCTCCTTCATAAAAAGAGCCATCTACATAATAATGGCTTTCTAAATTTACTTGAACATTATTCTTTTCCAAATCCATGTTATTTATCATTTAACCATTCACCTTCATAATATGATCCATCCGTACTCATAAATTTTCCAGCTCCGTTTGCCTTATCATCCATCCATGATCCTTCATATATATTACCACTTATATTAACTAATTTACCATGACCTTAAGCCTTATCATTAACAAAATCTCCTATATAATATGATCCTTTTTTCATTAAATTAATTACCATCAGGCCATATTTGTTTTCCTCTGCCATGTCTTACTCCATTCAATAATTCTCCCTCATATATTGCACCTGTTTCTAATCTTAAAATCTGTTTATCCTCCACTTGTTAGGACATCTAAGCTGACAGATGATAATATTCATCACTAAGGGCCCCTTCAACAACTTCAATCTCTGAAACATTAAGTATAATTGGTTTTTCAACAGTAAATTTTGAACATAACCCAGAACAACTTCCCATTTTAATTGATATAATAATTATAAAAAATGCATCTATCAATAAAAAGGATATAATGAGTAAAACTTATAATAGCTTATTGGCTAATAAATATTCAAAAATTATAAAATATAGATCTTTTCTAATTTTAATACTATGTTGTTATAACTATTCAAAAATTTCTAATTTATTTTTGACAATTTGATTCAATACAAATTTTAACACGCTTAAAAATAAAGAAATAACTCAAAATGATAGATTGAAATAAACTTAAGAGTGTGAGATGTACTTTATTTATGTAATATCTATTTAAAGCATGATATTTGGATATAATTATTAATAAAATAAAGATTTAAATATGCTGAGGTTAGTGAGTAAGAAGTCATTCTCCTCTACATTTAATGTGTTGGATACATTCAAGACTCTAAAAAGTGTGGTAATATACTAAAACATATAGAAAGATTACAGCCCCAATAAGACATATAAGGTCATATGTACGATAAGATGGTGTGCACAGTTCTATGACACCAAATTTGACTTATCAGGCATTTGATGAAGTGCTTCATGAATATTATGCTGCCTATTCTGGAAATCCTTTCCATTTACAAGTTTACAATAACTTAGATAATATCTAAACAGTCAACTTTGGTACAGTAGACAATCCCTGTGTTATTTTTACTGCTGATACTCCCTTTAGATATGTTGGATGCACTGGTTTATAGAATGAAGATGATTATGAATAACACGAAATCCATCTCTTTATGTTAAGAGAAGGTCCTTTGTAGAGATGCCCAATGTGTGGTCAAGTTTTTAAATTGGTTAGACTAAGATAATAAGAGGATGAAGAAATGTCCTACTATAGAGATTCATTCCATCCTATTGATATTTTTGAATTGGATGTAAATTAATCAATCAATTATTTTAGAATGAAAATGTTTAATCAATTAATATGCTTAAAATGTGGACTCATAGAGAGGCTTCATTATTTGAAAGTGCATTATATGAATAAAATATTATGGTAACAATGGATAACGATGTACATGATAGATTACTTGTTGATCCAGCTTATAGAATGTGGAGATTTTAACATGGTGAAGATAAATTAAAATACATTGATTAATAATTGAAATAAGCAGGTTATAATGAAGAAAGAGTCTATAGAAATCCTAAATACAAATTACCAATGTAAAAGGCAACATATGCAGCTGTTATTGAAGCAGAGAAGGTCTTGGCTATCTAAGAAAGATTAGAAAGAAAAGTAAATAGATTCCATGTTAGAGAATATCTTGATTTTGCTAATCATGCTAGAAGAGAAAGAAGAATGAGATTAAGATAAAAGGAAAGATGGGAAAATAATTATACTTATTTCTATGGAGGTCTTACAGAAGAAGAATAATTATATAATGATTACTTTGAAACTGATTAAGAATTATATAAAGATGATGAATAAGTTGAATAAAGAATTGATGAGGCTGTTGCTTAAGTTGATCCTAAGTATAGTCCTCTCAGATTTGACTTTTAAGAGGCCTATACTCATAATCCTGAAGAAGATTAAACTTCACTTCTTGAAAAGAAATTGTGGAGATTCAAATATAGATTAGCATTTGATTGCACCAAAGATTATTAAGTTAGAGAAAGAAGATTGATTGAAAGACATTTGGCAAGAATGACTAAAGACCCAGAATATATTTCTGTATTCAAGAATCTATAAAATGCTGTTAATTCTGAAAATGAATTTGCAATCTTATAAGCTGAAAAGAACTATTATAATCTCGCAGCTAAAGAAGGATGTAAATTTATTATATTATTTATTTAGTCCTTTAATACAAGGACTACTTTGAAGGAGATTCATCAGCTGAAATCGAATTAGTTGAAGAATTATACAAAGCTTCACCTTTAGCATTCAGCAAAATCTTTGTTAATCACTCTGCAAGATTATTCTAATAAGAAGGATTCTAAAAATTCCCTAAAAGAGCTTGGAATGACAGTCTAGGATTAATATAAAATTATGTTTTAGATTTCCAAGATTTTTCATCTAATATTGTACCAAAAGCTTAAAAATTGGCTAATTATGCTGGTTTATAAAATGTATTAAAAATAGTTTATATTATAGGTACTACCTGCTGATGAGTAAGAGTTAGTAAAACTTGGTTTAGATAAAACTGAATAAATTGCAAGATAAAAAATTGCATAAGCTTAAGAAAAACCATAATTAAATGAACCACCTAAATAAGCATAATAATAAGCACCTCCAAAAGTTGAATAAGAATAATAGAAGCCTTAATAGTAGTAATAATAATAATAATAATAATAATAAAAGAAAGGACCTTTTAACAAAAAGAAATGATTATTTAATTATTAAAATAAAACAAAATAAATATCTTATAATTATCTACTAGATTTTTTATTGATTCAATCTTATTAATCTTAATTTTATTCTAATTACATTTCTTCTCTTTTATCATTATATGAAGAGAATAATTCCTAATAATCAATTTTTTATCTACTCTCTTTTCCAATAGCATAATGATCTATTTATGCACAACCTGGTTATATTTATTTTAAATTTTCTAAGATTTAAATTCTATTTTATGGCAATCATTATTACATATTTTTTTCTAAATATTCCTTTGAATTCTATTCTTCCATATTAGAAATAGGCAAATGCAACTTATATTCAGGGCCAAAGTAGATCTTATAATCAGATTCATCAGGAATATTATCAGGAATTGGTACATTTAATGCTAAGGAAGTTTCATAGGTCCAACAACGTGGAACATTTCTTAATGTATATCCTCCACCACCTACCATTATAATAGGGACATTAAATTTTTTCAGATATTCAATACAAGACCCATGACCTATGTAATATTATTAAATAATAACCTTTGATGCTTAAATTAAAACAGCCCAAACGATCTCCACTTAGACTATCAGTTCCTCCTTGTAACATAATAACATCTGGTTTAAAATTATCCATAATGCTATCAATAACAGGTTTAAATATTAATTAGATAGAATCATCATTTAAACCTTCATTCAATGGAAAATTAACTGCATAATATTTTCCTTTATCATGTCCTACATCATCAATATGCCCAGTTCCAGGAAAATATTCTTTAAATTTATGAAAAGAACAAGTCATAACTCTGTCGGTTAAATAAAATGCTTCTTCAACTCCATCTCCATGATGAATATCAATATCGATATAAAGTACTCTTTAATATGTTTTTAATAGTTCTAATATTCCTAATACACAATCATTAACATAACAAAATCCACTTGCCTCACTTTATTTTGCGTGATGCAATCCACCACTCCAATTTATAGCAATATTACTCTTCTAATCTGCTATTACACAAGCAGCACCAACAGAGCCAGAAGTTTGACATAAACAAAAATCAAATAACCTATCCAAAACTGGGCAATCTTCCATAAAATTGACTATATATTTAAATATTTATTCATTTACATCTATATAATTAATCTTCATGTTGGCATTTATTTTCTGGAGTAATTATTTTGATTAAATCAATATATTCTTTCGAATGAAATTAAGTCAATACATCTTCATCTACTCTTTTAATATAAGTTTGAACAAAAGATTGATCCTAAACCTAAAAATGAATACATCTTACAATACAATTCATATATTATTTAAGTCCATAATGACCAACTAAATCATCTGTGATAGCTACTCTTAAAGGTTTCATAGGGTGAGTTGTTGAATAATTAAAGGTACCGAATTCCTCATCGTAATAATAAGTCACTTTCTACTTGAAGAGATTCATTCTTTCCCCAAAATTGTATTTTTAATTATATTATTGTTTATATTATATCTCATTATATTTAGTAAATTATTAAGAATATCTGGAAATTATAATAATGCTAAATAGATACAACCAAATAAATTCACTTCAATCTTAACCTTTTCCAATTATATATATTTTTTAAATATCAATATATAAGTTAACAAAAATACATATGAAAAATTTAATCATTAATCAAGTTTATCCAAAATTAGATTTATTAATTCGTAATTTTCATCTGATATTGTCATTTGTTAAACAAACAAAATTCTTGATTCACAATCTTCTTCATTAAATATTTTAACATTAACCTAATCTATACTTATAAGTCTGTATAAGATGAAAAGTATATTAAATAAAAATTGATTATCTTTTTCTTCACAATAGTCATTTAATTCTTGAGCTATTTACTTAATTAATTTATAATCCTTATTTAATTTTATTACATCTTCATCCTTAGAAAATTTGATTAGATTATAGAGAAACAAAAAAAAATCATCAACCTCTAAAAATATTGAAGGCATATTTTATGCATAAGNCATTCAATGGAAAATTAACTGCATAATATTTTCCTTTATCATGTCCTACATCATCAATATGCCCAGTTCCAGGAAAATATTCTTTAAATTTATGAAAAGAACAAGTCATAACTCTGTCGGTTAAATAAAATGCTTCTTCAACTCCATCTCCATGATGAATATCAATATCGATATAAAGTACTCTTTAATATGTTTTTAATAGTTCTAATATTCCTAATACACAATCATTAACATAACAAAATCCACTTGCCTCACTTTATTTTGCGTGATGCAATCCACCACTCCAATTTATAGCAATATTACTCTTCTAATCTGCTATTACACAAGCAGCACCAACAGAGCCAGAAGTTTGACATAAACAAAAATCAAATAACCTATCCAAAACTGGGCAATCTTCCATAAAATTGACTATATATTTAAATATTTATTCATTTACATCTATATAATTAATCTTCATGTTGGCATTTATTTTCTGGAGTAATTATTTTGATTAAATCAATATATTCTTTCGAATGAAATTAAGTCAATACATCTTCATCTACTCTTTTAATATAAGTTTGAACAAAAGATTGATCCTAAACCTAAAAATGAATACATCTTACAATACAATTCATATATTATTTAAGTCCATAATGACCAACTAAATCATCTGTGATAGCTACTCTTAAAGGTTTCATAGGGTGAGTTGTTGAATAATTAAAGGTACCGAATTCCTCATCGTAATAATAAGTCACTTTCTACTTGAAGAGATTCATTCTTTCCCCAAAATTGTATTTTTAATTATATTATTGTTTATATTATATCTCATTATATTTAGTAAATTATTAAGAATATCTGGAAATTATAATAATGCTAAATAGATACAACCAAATAAATTCACTTCAATCTTAACCTTTTCCAATTATATATATTTTTTAAATATCAATATATAAGTTAACAAAAATACATATGAAAAATTTAATCATTAATCAAGTTTATCCAAAATTAGATTTATTAATTCGTAATTTTCATCTGATATTGTCATTTGTTAAACAAACAAAATTCTTGATTCACAATCTTCTTCATTAAATATTTTAACATTAACCTAATCTATACTTATAAGTCTGTATAAGATGAAAAGTATATTAAATAAAAATTGATTATCTTTTTCTTCACAATAGTCATTTAATTCTTGAGCTATTTACTTAATTAATTTATAATCCTTATTTAATTTTATTACATCTTCATCCTTAGAAAATTTGATTAGATTATAGAGAAACAAAAAAAAATCATCAACCTCTAAAAATATTGAAGGCATATTTTATGCATAAGGAAGAATTTCCTCCCAAAATTCATTAATAAATTGAGGATCATCTGTAATAAAATTACTCAATGTCACAAAACCTTTTTTGATTAAAGATTTTAATTCTCCTTTTGATATATTCTATTAATCCATAAAATTTTTAATTGTTTTTATTATTGTATGTGCCATTTGAGTTTGAAAATTGAGAGTTATTTCATTATCTATTTTATTTATAACAAGATTACCTAATAATGATACATATTAAAAATATTTAAATATTTCTCCACATAATTAAATATTCTCAAAATCTCCTTTCAACAAATAATTCAAAAAACTCAAATCTAACTTAGATTTATCATAAGAATAAATTCTGTTCATCATTTTGAGAATCCATTATTTTTCTTTAGCATTATATAACTAGATATAGAGATCTTACAATATTTCATGTAACTCAATTAATTTAAATTTATTAATTTCTGGTTTCATTCTATCCAAATTTATAATCAAAGAATAAAAGTCATCAAATAGACATTTTTGTTTACATTTGAGTGTGTAATTCCTTTAATTGAATATATATTATACCATAAACATTTTGGAACTTATAGTATTAAAATCAAGTCTCTACATTAGTAACAATCACAAGCTAAATTTGCAAAAATATCCAAAATGTACTATTATAATTCTGTATAGTAAGTTGAATTATAATAGCCTGCAAGTTATTATATGTATTCATGAATAGGTTGAATTTACTGATGATTTCCTGCTGAAATGGCTAATAATATATGCAAACAAGATTTCTAAAAAATTAATATTTATATCTACATCTATTTGAGGATAACCAATATTAAATATTTTGAATATTCGTTCAACATCATTTGTAGTATTATAATCAGGTTCACAATCATATTCATTATAATAATTGCTTAATTGCTAAACTTTGAAAATGCTATCTGTTATTGTTTCATCCATATCAAATTCATCATTCATAAAGTTAAATTTCTTTATAAATATTCACTAAATTACCTATTAATTGCCTTTTTCGAATGCCTCGTAATATGATTATTAAAATATATTATTGCTACAAGTAAATGGAATTATGTCTTTTGATTATGGAAATCGATTTTTTCTAAATGTTTCTTCTCTAGCTTTTTTCTTAAGTCCAATCATAAACTTCTCTCTTTTTTGAGTTATATTTTAAAGCATTTTTAATAATTTTAAATAAATATAAGGCTAATTAGTTATTTAAAATAATTATGTACATCATTCATTATTTAGTAATCAATGGAATTTACATAGAATTTAATAATTGTCTAAAATATTACTTATTAATAAATAATAACTGGGTGTAATTATATTAGCATTTATTGACAATAGTATTTTAACAATCATAAATGTATAATAATTAGATTATAAGACTTTTAAACTCATTTATCATCAATTAGTTTACTACTTTTCTTTGATGAATATAGAAATTTACTAATAAATTTTGAGAAATCCCAATGTGATAAATTTATATTTAAATAATAATGCTTAAGCATCTTTACGATACAGATTGTGTTACTTGGTCACCATAAGGCAAATTATTCTAAGTAGAATATGCTATGGAAGCTGTCAAATAAGGAAGTATATGTTTGGGACTCAAATCAAACGAAAATGTTGTATTATGCAGTCTCAAAAGACAACCATCTGAATTAGCAGGCTATTAAGAAAAATAATTTAAAATAGATGATCATATGGCTATTGCTATTGCTGGATTAACAGCAGATGCACGTATTAAATTATATATATTAAAACAGGTGTTTTATGCAAATATATGAGAACAGAATGCTTAGAATATAAATATACATATGAATCTCATCATCCAGTGGGAAGATTAGTTTACAAAGTTGCAGAAAGTATAATATATATCAAATTTTAAAAGAGTCTCAACATAAAACTTAAAGTGGGGCTAAGAGACCCTATGGTGTAGGATTATTGGTTGCTGGTATTGATCCAAATGGTGTTCATTTATTTGAAACATGTCCATCTGGCAATTATTATGAATATAAATGTTAAGCTATAGGTTCAAGATCATAAGCTGCTAGAACTTACTTTGAAAGTTGGTTCCATTTATTTGAAAAAAGTACTTTAGAATAACTTATTTTACATGGATTAAGTGCTATCAAGAAGGCTATTATGGAAGATGAAGAGTATTTTAAAATATTATAAATATAATAGATTAAATGAGAAAAATGTAGAAGTTGGAATTTTAGGTAAGAATTAGAAATTTACACATTTAAATGCTTAAGAATTAAGAGATTATATTGCTAAATTAGATGCTTTTAATCCTAATTCTTAAATATAATAAGAATGATAATTTAATAATACATATTTTAATAGATATTATGTAAATTTAATGTTTTTATTTTTTAAAGAATTTTTAATAACTTTTTACACAATATTACTTAAATAATACAGAAAATATAGTCAATATTTATAAATTAATATGATTTAAATGGTAATAAAGATAAAAATTCAACAATCATTCTCTATATAGCTTATATTAATATGGAATATTAATTATTAAATTTATAAGAAAAAATTTCAAAATTACAATAAAAAAAATAATGTGAATCATTGAAATTAAAAATTATTTCCAAGATTGGAGATTATTTCTTAATTTATATTTTATATGATCCCAATAATATTTATGAATGGAGGCGACTTTAATATAATTTATTAATTATATATATATATATAAATGAAATTGTTAATTCATGCAATAATAACATCAATATCATTATAAACATCATAATCTGATCTTTTTCTTTTATTATATAAATGTATTTATAAAATTTCATCTTCCCATTTTAATTTTAAACCTTTATCTTCCCATTTTATATTGTATTCATCAATTTTCCATGTCACAAATTTTTCTGCATTATTGAAACAATAATATGGACACAATAAAGAAAATCCGCAAGTAAAAGGAATAAGTAAGTATGATAAAAGTATTAATTTTTTTGGAGGCCAATTGTTTGCTATTGTTCTGTTCAATTCATCTAAAAATGATTTTATTTCATGTTCGTTAATATATTCAAGCAATAATGAATTATGTTTTAAGTAATAATATGGGTGTAATTTGGATAAGATAAATTTATTTCCTTTTGTTTTAATTGTAATTACTGCATTAGCTTCTTATAGCTCTTAATAATTCTTTATAGTTTTCATTTTATTTGGTTCTTGCATACTTGGTGTTTCTAAAGATTTATCTAAACTTACTTAGTACATATATAAATAAATAAAGAAATATTTTATAGCTAATAATTTAGAAGTAATAATCTAGAAATAATAATAATTTAAAGAAAAACTATTTTATGTTAAAAATAAATGAAAGAGTTTATCTTTGATTTTTATACATTTCTAGTTTTCAATTAACTATCTAAAACTCTAAATTATATAAGGTACACCAAACTTATATTATTTTTTGGTATCTTATCTATTAACTAAATTCGTATATACTATATAATGAAGTAACTCAAAATAGATATGAGCTTCCTAAATAAAATTGACTTATTAATTCAATTGAAAAATAATTAAAAGAGATCAGATGGAAAATAAATGGACTTTTTTAGTTGAAAATAATTAGTAATGAGATTATTTTATAAAAAGATACACATAATTAATCATTTGAAAAGTATAGAAATTTGAAGAAGTATTTAGAATTATAATTTTGGATATTAAAAATGATATACAAATTATCAAAATTGATACAATAATTAAGATTACAATCATTTTAATATTTAGAATATAAGATTTTGTGATTATCATTTTTTTTTCTAAATGATTCCAATTTTAATCCTTTTGAATCTTATTGTTTCTAATTAATTGATAAGATTCTTAATCATTATAAAGGAACAGAAAAATCTTTTAATTTCGTTTATAATTAATCAATATTTGTTTATCATTTAATAAATAGAGTTATACTTACAACTCTATAAGTCTATCAATCTTACATAAAAACTATCTATCTTTATTTAGAAACCTTTTTATTTTATTTTAAATCCCTATTCTTAAAATTTCATAAATTTAAATATAATTTCTAACAACAAAAAATTAAACTATTAAAATCTTGCTTCAAAAGGCGTACTATAATAATATAAATATTATTTTTATTCAATAATAGACAAAACTCTACATGAATTTACATATTTTAATTATAATATCTCTTAAATATACCATTTAAATTGAAGCTTTATTATCATTATTAAAAAATGTTGAAAGTCTTTTAGATAAAAATAATATCTAAATAACCATGATGTGTATATATATGATATATGTGATATTTTTATAAAATTATCAATATTGGCAATTAATATTATTATATTATTATGCTGAGTCTCAATAAATTAATTTACTTAAATCCATAACCTTCTTACCATTCCAAGACTTTTGATGGTCATTAAAAACTTAAACTATTATTTATCAGAACAAAGCAAAATAAACATTAAATTCCTTGTTTATTCATCAAAGCAAATTCAGATGAATACCTCTTATATTTTCATAGCAATGCAGAGGATATGTAAATTTTATTTAAATTTAAAAGAGGCACTTGTTATGAATTTACATCTGCTTTGAGTTAAGGATTGAATGTAAATGTAATTTGCATGGAATATCCAGGATATGGGATTTACACCTAAGTTGAACCTTCTTAACAATAAATTGAAAAGGATGCAGAAGATGTGTTTATTTATATTAATTTGGAATTAAGAGTTCCTGATTCTAAACTGACTATTTTTGGAAGGTCTATTGGAACTGGCCCAGCTTGTTTTTTAGCATCAATTTATTAACCAAAAGCATTAATTTTATTAAGTCCATTCACTTCTATAAAGGCTGTTGCTAAAAAGCATTTTTACTTTGCTGCAAATTTATTAAAAGTATATAGAAATTCATCATTCCTTATAGGATTAGTTTGATAATGTACAAAGAGCCAATAAGGTTTCATGCCCTTGTATTATCATACATGGTAAACTAGATAAATTTATTCCAATTTAAATGGCAGAAGATCTTTACAAAAGTTTGGCTTCGAAAAGAAAAACATTTTTTTATCCTGAAGATAAAGATCATAATAATTTCAATTTTTAATATGATATAAAAGATATTGTTTAGAACTTCATTAAGGAAATTGAATAGTTAAATCATATGTTTTTGCATAATTGATATATCTAGAATCTCTTTAATTAGTTTACATTAGCATTTTTAAAGAATTTATCTTACGTAATTTATTTTGATTATTTCATTATTCAATTCTAAATCTGATTAATTTTTTTCTTATGAATTTATTTGATTATAAAAGAAATTATATTAAGTTCTTTCTATATTATCAAATATTTACTAAGATTTTTATAAATTGATTTATTTTGTTATTATAAAGATATTAATCATTAAATTTATTTATAATATCTATAAAATGTAGTTATGAAAAATGATTACAAATTTAATATATAAAATATTTATTAAATATAATAAGATTGTTATTTAGTATATCTAATATTAATATCTGATAAACTCAGAATTATAATCCAATGTCTTCTATTGGTAAGTGAGATACTGCTTATAAAGCCTTTTTTAATTCTCCTTTAGCTCTCATGGTTTCAACGTATTGCTTAATTGTATTCTAAAACTTTATACTATTTAATTTAAGATCAGGAATAATTGATATAAGCATATAGATCTAGATAAAAATGTTTAAATACTTCTACAACATTCTCAAGTCTATTTTATTATAAATTTGTATTGATAGTTAGTGAACAAAGATCTACAAAATCAAATGTATTATTTCTTTGTTATAACTCATTTATACATTAGCTTAAGATCTAAGCATTGGCATTTGTAATAACATATAAACCTCTTAATACTCTAATAATAAGATTATTGACTGAAATATTTTCAGGACTCACATGCCAAATAAAGAATAATTTCATAATAAATCTAGGTTAAGCATATTAAATTGATATAATCTAATTAGTTAATGTATTAATCATTAATTTTAATGTATATTCTATTAATTGTTATTTATCATGAAATTGTTCTAAAATTTACAAAATAATCTAATAAAATAATTTGTCATTTTATATAATATTTAAAATTTATGGATAAGTACTTAAATTAGTCAACATACCAATTCCAACAGTTAGTAATCTATTATCACTACTATTTTAATAGATTAAACTAATTATATGAGGTATTATTTAAGGTTAAATATATTAATTACCAACAATCCCAAAAAAAGAGAATAATTCTTTGAAAATAAATTATCTAATAGATGGATGTTATTAATCATATTTTGGGGATTATATTTAGTTATTTTCTAGAAAATTACTAAAAATATTGACTATATTTTCAATATGTTATAATTTGTATTATTCATTATTTTCACATATTTTTCTAATTATACCTATCATTAATGCACATTCTTCACTGATAGTATTAATTTATTTATATAAATGATTAAAGAATTCTGCATATTTTAAGAGTTCATCAATAACTTCAGGACAATCATATAATAATTTCCATATTAATGTTAAAGATGAAGCATCTAATGTTAGTTTTAATACTTATAAAATTCCTTAACACCAAAAAAGTAATCTTTAATCATTATTAAAACACATATTGGCTATAATTAATTAGACTAATTCTCTATTGATGTTATTTCTAAAAAGTTAAAGTAATTAATCTTAACTCTTTTTTATTGTCATATATTCAGAATTTTTGTTATTTTTTGTTACAATTACTAAACAAGCCAATAAATCATCTGTACAATTAACTCTAAGCATACGAATAAAAGATCTTAAACATTTTGAATGTCTTATTTCATCTGATATATCCTTATCCCAACAAAGAATACAGAAAATCTAACAAATCTATTTAGAGATTTCATTAAATAATGTTGTTTTAAATATTTGGCTACATTCACTTAATGATACATAATATTAACATAGTGCTTTAGCAAATGTTAGATTGAATGTATTCAAAAATAGCTCAGTAAAATTGATTCTCCAAATTTAAATTATAGGTTTCAATTGTAAGAAATCCAAATCCTATTTTATTAAAGAATCACTATACTTCTAAAATCATTCCAAAGATAATCTTTATTTGATCTAAATTATGTTGATTGAATAATCTAATATATTGTTCTACTTGCCCAAGAAATGAATTAAATGACTATAAAGAAGTATTATAATCTTTATTTCGTATTGGTAATCGTAGTTGTTAAAGAAGTTAAATTGGAATGATGTTATTGTTATTCATTTAATTATAATTATGAACTTATTATTAATACACAATTAATCATTTGTATATCAATTTAGATTATTAAATTAATTATAGAAAACTAATTAAATTAATTCTGATCATGTTTTTAATTCAATATCTCTATAAAATAATAAAAAAATTTTAACTGTTTAACTAAAACTCAAAATTTTAATAAAAATGAATTTATTTTAAATATTTTCTTAATAATAATTAAATAAATCATTCATCTTTATTTTATTGCTATTTCTATTCATCTAAGTCATATTTTCTACTTAAAAATTATTTTGATTGTTTATATATATTATATGTATGTTGAATATCGATACCTAGAGTATTGCAATAATTATGTTCAGCCATAAATTAATATAAATCTAAAGAATCTTCTTCATCCATCTCTGCACCAAAGTATTTTTCAAATTATTCTCTAAAATGATGCTACATATCTTTTTTTTCAATTTCTATAAGGAATTTTCCTACTTAATTTGGCTTTAACTCTTTTCTTAATTATTCTAATGTTTATCCATACGAACTCAATTCAATCTATATTTGGTTTTTAATCTCCTAAAAAGATGATAAAGTGCTAAAAATAAATTTTAACACAACTTTGTAAGATCATTCTAAAATCTAAGTAGCTTTTTATGTTTCTTTAAAAATATCTGTTTTTATTTGTCTGTCAATTTCAAATTCCTTAAAACACCAGAATCATTATTTCCATTTTATCCATTAAAAATATCTTATTCTGTTTTTGCTACTCCAATTATATAATTTAAATAAGGAGATAGGCAATTTTCATATATTTGGTTAAAATAATGATCTAATTATTATTATCTTTCAAATGATCCAGCTCCAAATTTTTTCTTATATAAATAATTATTTTTACATTTAATGATTCTATTATACTATCTATATTCATTTCACTAACATTATTCTATACTGTATTTTATAAATTTTAAAACAAAATCATTTTATTCTGATCTTACTCTTATTTCTAAATTATAATGTAATTTAACTTAGCTTATTTTATTTTGTAATTTTAATGCCAAATCAGCAGTGGAATCGTTAACTTTTTGAAAACTTTCCAATTATTCTGACAATATTGTAACTTTATTTTCTAATAATTCTAAGTAAATTTTCTTTCTCTTTCTACTATTTCTTGCAGATTCTCTATTTTTTTTTAGTTTATCTTCTTTATCAACACATGATCCCCCTCCAAAGAGTTGATTTGAGGATTTTGCTTAAACTTATTTTTTTCCTCCTCTATTGTCATTTTATTTAAAATACTTTTCTTCTATTTATTCAGAATTTGCTATTTTAATCAAAGATGAGATTTTATTGATATATGTATTTTTGGTATTTCCTTTTTGTTTTTTCATTTAAGCTTCAGATTTCTTGTCATCCTCATCTTCTTTATCATATTATATATCACTAGAGTTAGAATCTGATTCTAAAGGATTAAAGTAATCATAGTGATTCATTTATAATAATTATTTATTATCAATTAATTTATATAATTTAAATTGATAAAAATTAAACATTATAATAATAACAGAAATTATCTCAATATTGAACATTTTATTGATTTTTTCTGATCTTTAAGAAGAAATTTATAAATTATTTGAGATTATTGATATTTATGATTAAATTTAATAAATTAAGTTTACAATTTTGCATTAAATATTTTCATCAAATATTATTTTTGATTCTAATAATAAAATTAAATTATAATTGCATAATATATCTTTAATATTAATTATTTAATAAAATTTTCAGATATATTACTATCTTAAAATTATACTAGAATTATTATCTTCGAATTAATAGGTCTATAATGATTGACTAATTCTATTTCAATAATTATTAATTTTTCCATAAAAAAGTATTTAAAATAGAATAAGAATCAATAAATATAAAAATATAACAATAAGATTTTTTATTGCTGATTTCAAAATTAAATTTAATGAAATTTCAACATTTAAATTATATTAATTTATATGTATTTTATTTTGTTATTTTTTTTTGTTAATCTATATATTAATATACCTATTAAAATATTAAACTAGACCGACTTTTTAATAAAAAATCAATCGAAAAAATGATTTGGGATACACATTATTACCATAAATTAATTTCAATTTCTGAATAAATTACATATACTCATCCTCTTAAAATAAGGACAAATAATCAGAATTAGATCAGAATTAACAAATGATTATACTTGAACAACAGAATTTGTTAATATATAATATATAATAAATAAAACAATTATTTATTAATTTATAATTCATATTTATTTTTAAAATATCACCAGGATTATACTGGAAAAATTCTTAGGATTTTATTTTAACTATTCATTCTAGATTCATTATCATTAGAATATAAATATTTAACTTATTTATTTAGTGATAAAATCATGAACAATACCCTATTTAAGATTATAAAAATGAAATTAGGATACTTTAAAATTGCTTAATTCTATAATCTTTTATGATTTTAAATATTTTTATTTTATAAAAAAGTAATTAATAATTATGTTGTGATTGAATAAATAATTTTTCGAAATTTGTCAAATAACTTTTCAATAGAAAAAAGATACAAAATATTAAAATATCACTAGTTTGAATTATTTATAGGTTTATTTAACAAGGTGAAACAGATAACAATATTTTTTTAATTAATATTAATCATTCTACATATTTTGTATCAATTAATATCATGTAGATTCCAGGATGTTTATTGGCAAAACTAATTAAATCCTTTTTAGATATCTTAAAGATTGTAGCTTTTCTGGTAGCTCTAATAGATGTTGATATAGCAGTATTTTCAATCATAGCTTTTAATTCTCCAACATATGCTCCTGAATCTAATTCTTCTAAATCTTACTCAGGTGAATCATAAAAAGCAAAAGTTCCTCTTTTGATAATAAAAGCGAATTCAGGTTTATCACCAACTTTCCAAAGAACAGTACCTTTTTCAATTTCATGTTCTCTCATTATCATTTCCAATTATGTTTTTTGAGAAGGAGTTAATTCAGATAAAATAGAATTCTTAAAGAGACAATGAACAGCTTTAGATCTTCTAGCAGCAGTCAATTATTTCATTTTTTGAATAATAGGACCTTGTCCACCTAAACCATCTCCAAAAATAAACCAGAAATCATGTTTTTCTAAAATAAGAACTTTAAGATGTGTAACAGCTTCTACACTAATAAATTAATAATAATTATTACGAAGCTCCTCTTCTTCCTTCATTTGATAAAACAGCAGATTCTCCAAAATAGTCACCCACTTAATAATATCTTTCAAATTCTTAGCCTTTTTATGTTGAATAAACTCTTGCTAATCCTGATTCAATAATATAGAATCTATCTCCAGCAGTTCCCTCTTTGATAACATCTTATCCTGTAAAGAACTCTTCAGATGTAACTGAATCTAAAAGCCATCTTACGTTTTTTAAAGTCAAATGCTCAAAAATATCAATTGTAGAAAGTAAATCAAGTCTTCTTATAGTTGTCAAATGTTTATTTGTATTACTTGGTATTAAAATCATAGTATTTTCTATACCAGTTTTTGCTATCTTTAATCCTAATTCTTTTTTTAAATCTTTTTAAGCTGTATGTACAAGATACAATCTATTTTTTATATTATTTGGTAATTTGCCAAGAACAGATTATGCAGTATGAATAGGAGGCACTCCTGCTTCATGTAAGATTAAATCTTCCTTAAATTCTACAAAAGCTAAGTGTTCATATCTCTTTTGTGAGAGAATTCCTTAATTTTTATAGACTAACAATTAATCTGGATCAAAGAATGTATCAGATGAAAAATAAATAGATTTATTCTCTAATTTCACACTAAATCCAAGACTTGGAATAGTGTGCATAGCATAGAAGAAATTAAAATAAGCTCCATATATATTCAAAGGAATTCCAATTATAGCAGGTCTATAATAGATAATTATAAAAATATACCTAAAAATAAATAATCTTCTTAAAGAATCAATATCAATATTAGACATTGCAGAATATTTTCTTAAAAAAGAATTCATAATTGTTCTTGTAGTAATAATTTCTACTCTAGTATCATCCAATATTTTATGGAATGTACCAGCATCATGATCTGCATGACAATGACTAATAATCACTGCACATATTAATATTGAAGGGATTCCCATTTATTTCATATGATATGAGGCAAATGGAGGTGGATCTACCATAATTCCTCTTCCATTTACCCAAAAAATATAACCAGAAGTTGATCCTTTAGGATCGAATCCATGAGACTAAAAAAAATATATTAAATATTATTTACACATCCTAAAATAGTAACACCAAAATCTGGAGGTGTAAATGATTTATTTTCATCAATATCTAATTAAAAAATAGCTGATCCACTTTCAACATGTCCTCCCATCTAATCCCATAAGACTACTGATAATTTCTTCTCACCACCTCTTTAATATTAATTACCTATAACCCAATTTTCTACTTTTTATTCAACTGTCATTTCTGGTAATTGTTTAACTAATAATGGTGTTGGACATTATTCTTTTGCAGCATCTCTTTTAGATTTAATATTTTTCATGCTTTCAGCTCTATAATCATCTGGTTTTGTAACAATATATTCATAATATTATGAAGGGAATGTAAATACATCTTAAATACTTTTTTAATATATCCCATTTTCTAAGATTTTAAATGAATTGTTATCCTTAACTATTTTAATTGTGATATCTCCTTCAGTGATTGTTGCAGTGTTATTCTCATCAAATAAACAAAATTTTAATAAATGATCTATTGTCAATTTTTCATCTAAATTTGATGGATTTTTTGAAAATACACTTCTTTCTTTATGAAAATCTGGATAAGCACTTTTTGGAAATTTATGATAGAAATCAAGTGCTAAATCAGGATGATCAATTGGACCCAATAAGGTCTCTTAAAAGACAGTTCGAATTGCTTTTTCTGTATCAGGTGTACAAATTAATGTTATTTATTTCTTTTTACAGAAGAAATTAAAATAAGCTGGAAATTCAAATTCAGCAGTACTTATTCCTAGTCTTTTATCAAATCTAATAATTTCTAAATTTTATACCTTTTTGATGGTATAATATAAAAAGTTGGAACTTCCATTCCTAAATTTAAACAGTCCTTAATTGTTTCTGGAGGCATACCATACTAAATTGGACCTATTTTGGTCTGAAGTATGCAACCTTATATAATTATCTATTTTTACCTCCTCTTTCCAAATCAACTAAATCTGCACATGATACATTAGATTTACAATCTGATTATTATTTTTATAGCTAAATGGAGCATGATTAAGATTTAAGCAAAGAAGGACATTAATCTGACTATTCTAAAATGTAATCCAAATCTTATAGAAAAGATTTGTCATCAGAAAATACATATGAACAAGCCATTTTATTAACAAATAAATAATTATTGAGTAATAAAATTATTGTTCATTTAGAATTAAAGGATGAAATCTATCAAAAAGTAATCATTTCCATTAATTTAATGCCATTCTGACTTCTGGTTTTGATAAATTAAACTTAACACTTTTTTTGCTACCTATACTACTACACCTTGAATTATTATCAGAAAATGAAGAATCAAGTGTTTATTTCTTTAGAATCCCTTTAAAACAATTTTATTTTGAACCTAATTTTGAACTATAAGATGATGAATTTGATTCTAATACATTATTTCTACTAAGACATTATTCTGAAACTTTAATATTCTTTTTTTTAGCTTATCTGATTTATGAATCAATTTATAAATCACTAGGTAATCTTTCATAAGTTGCTCCTCTTTTTTCAGTTTAATTATTTTTTTAATCAATATTTAAAAGTTAAGCAGGTCTATGAATATCAGATTTATGATGATTTAATCTTCTTTTGATTTACTTAAATTTCTGTTCTACAGAATCCTTTGTTTTTATTGATAATTGATTAATTAATTAAAATGAATCAAATTATCTAGAAGGTGAAGTTTCATCACAATTCAAGTCTTCTTCAAGTTATCCTAATGAGATACCAAATTCTTGTTTATATTACATATTATAAATTTTATATTATAAAGTAGTTTATCAATTCTTTATATCTTCATTTTTATCACTATCTAAGATTTCATAATGTCTCTTTAATCTCAATAAATTAATAATATTAGGTACAGAATCTGGTTAATTTTATCTGACTCCATCAATTAAATCATTTAAACAAATTTCTTATAATTATTGCAATACACTTTCAGTAGTATCTACATCATCATCTTTATCATATACATCTCTTATTTTTTCAGAAAATTCTTTTTGAATTCCAATTTATTCTTCATCATAAACAACAAATTCATATTCTTTATTGTTATTTTACTTAGTAAGTTTTAAAATTTCATATTTTTTCTTGCTACTAAATATTTCATAAGGCATTCTAAATCTTCTCTTTTTTTCTTTGGGAACAACTTAAATCTAACTTTATA